GTGGGCCTCAGTCTCCATCACATAACCCCCCCCTCCCCGACAACAACGTGCAAGGGATTTGAGGGGGGCTATCAATAATGAAACCAAAAACATCATATTTTCGAAAAAGGAGAAAATAATACCACCAAATATACCACCAATACTATATATAAATATATTATTTACTTTATATTTCACAGAGGGTATATATAGAACATAAGGGAATAGTGGGAAAGTTAAGCACCTTTAAACCTAACAAGGCACTAGTTCCCGTGGCGGATGAGACAACTGGTACGCGAGCTGAGGGCAAGGAGGCCGTCCTTTGTTGAGAGCTAGTGAACAATGTAGTGTATTCATGAAAATCTAGAAAGAAAGATGAGAGACACAATAATGCATTATGCCCCATAAATAATAGTTCTCAAGAGATGAATATCTGGAGAGTTTTTTTTTCATGGAGAGCTGATGATGGGTTCATTATCTTTGCAGGAGGGGTTGACTTGTGTAATGTCAAGCATAATCATGAAAGATTAACTGGAATGGTTGGCTAATTCAAGTGAAAGAACAGGGAAATTTTATATGGACTCAGATACCCAATCTGAATGGATAATGCATCACTGAAAAGTAGTATGATGACTAGTAGATATTAAGTACAATTACACACTAAAACACACCACACACACACAGATACATTCTCCACTAACTGAGCACACACTCAGGAATGCAGTGATCAAAAGGATGTTCAGGCACACAATCAAAATACAACATAAGCAAGAAACCAAGCACACAAGATTCAGCACAACCATCCTCTATGTATTTTTCTGGTTTTGTGCCTTTCCTTGATAAAAAGCCTTTGGCTACTGAGACAAATATTATTTATAAAGTAGGAAATTTACTTCCATACCCTAAACTGTGTTTATTTGTATCTTTAAATGTCTGGAGGAAACTTTAAGAGTACAGGACACCTGGGATGAAACAAATAGCACAAGTAAATGGTAAGAATCAACATCAAGCAAGTATTAGTCTGTATGTAGTATGATTCTCTTAGTCTATTCTTGTTTTTTTGTTTTTAAAATAATCCTCATTTATTTGTTTATCTATTAATCATTTTTTGTGAAAAGCCTTCCTATTACTTAGCTGGACTGGATGGCATTTTACCATTCCTGGAATTAGATTTTTTCAAACTTGATCTTTGCCTTTTATGGTGGATAAAATCTACATTACAAAAATACTATCTATAAATATCATAAAAGAAAGAAAAAAATGTTGCTGCCAATTATATGCATTTATTACATTATATATATATATATATATATATATATATATATATATATATATATATATATATATATATATATATATATATATATATGCACATGCACATGCACACACATATATATATATAAAATGAAAAGCTATCAATGGAACTTAGGAGAAAAGGCACAAGCAGAGTACTTTACCCTTCAAAAGTCAGACAAAAACACATACTCTTTATTTGTGAGTTCCAGAAAATGTATGTTTGTGTCCTAAATGCATAGATGCATATATTTATATTATGAAAAAATGTTGATGAAGACTCACCTCTGAACAATATATACACACTTAATACAAATGACGATATCATTGCCACACACCTCAGCTTGTCTCATCCCTAAAACTCATTGACTTATTCTCAATAATTTCTTGAAAGATAGAATAAAGATTACAGACATTGAATTCAATACCATACAAAATATATTACTGAACTTTAAATGTACTGGAGTCTGAATTTTTAAAACCCATAGGAACAGTCCACAAGAGGTTATTATTAGCTTATTTTACAGGACCTTAATCTAGCTCATTAAGAGTCCACCATGGAAAGCACATAAAATCCAATTTGTGTACTGCTGCTATTGGCAAATTAACTTTCACAAGTGGATGTCTTTTGAAACCAAGAATAGTGAGATATGAATAACAAGGACAGAGCTGCCAAAACATCTCGACTCAGTGTTCAATGGCACTGACCTTCTAGTGAAGATGAACATTCCAGTAAATGGCTCCTTCACAATGATATGAAAACATCTGCATGGCATTAAAGACTTTACAATATGACACAGGCTTTGACACAGAAAGGGATTTCTAGAGACTTGGGGGATATATTAAATAAAATGTCAAAACTGTTATTAATGGACTTGCTTAGCACAATGATGTACTACCTAGAAGGATACACATCTGCTGCTCCCTACAGTGGGCTTGTAGGCTTCAACATTCAAAATTGCCATCCACTAATAAATTTTCACCAATATACAAAAAGTTAAGACTCCAGACACATTTGCCTGAATATGTATCATGCAAACAAAGCCCCCATCCCCACTCAGCTTCAGTCATGAACATGTATATAAATGAATTATGCAGATAAAATCAAAGAGATATGGTATAAATATAAGAATGGGATACAATATCTCCACTAAAATCCTAATGAACTCTTAGCTCTATGGACCATTTCACCCAAATGGATTACATACATTTAATGATTTTATCTGGCCTTATTTAAGTCCACTGACTTCATTCCTCTGGACATTAAAAGAACTAATGATTGCATGATGACAAATATTGTAACATTGAATTAAGGAGCAACATTTAATTTTCAGCAGGAACCCCTTCATATAATCTTGATACAACTGAGATTCTTTAGGGAATTCCTCCGGAATCTCCAACATTACAGGCTGCACTTCATATGCATATTCATTGTTTACACAAATGTACATAACAAAGTCCACCAGAAGGAGAAGCACCTCACCCATTCTCAAGTCAAGATCAGTTTTTAAAAGCTGCATTCAAAATTTTGAAGAACTGAGAATTGGTATCATGGTGTAACTGACAAAATGTTTTTTCTCTTAAAAACAGATCTTGTAAATTAATTCCTTTTATACAAGCATTACTCACTTTTTTTTTTCTTTTCTTTCATATCACAGACATCTCAGGCAATGTTCAATAATTATAAGAACCACAACACAATTCTATACTGTCAACAGTGTATTTAAAGACCTAGCTTAAAAACTGAGAGATGGTAAAAAGGAAGATACAAAAGCAAAGACTATAATAAAGAAAAAGAAAGAAAAATAAATAATGGTATATTGTCCACTCCAGGAGGCAGTCTTACACATTTTTTTAAGAGTAATTATGATAAAATCCTAAGAACTGCAATGGGTTACTTTCATCAGAAACTAGCTAATGGTTTTCAGGAAAAAAAGTTATCACAGTAATCACCTATATTACAAAATGCAATAAACAAAACATGCATATACTGTCAAGGAGGTATACAGCATTTATATTCAATTTGACTGAGAAATAAAAGGGGTTTGAAAGGTACAAAGAGAGGCTGGGAAAATAAGCAAGCACGCACACAAACCATGCAAACAAGCATTTGAAAACACGCACACACCATGCAAACAAGCATTTACACACACATGCACACACCATGCAAACAAGCATTTACACACACACACCATGCAAACAAGCATTTACACACACACACACACACACACACAAATATTCAAGAAAAGTAAAAGTAACCCAGATGAACAGTAATGAGTAAAAATGAATGGCTTTAAAGAGAAGCCAGCACATTGGCAGGGGAAATATGTTTCAACAGTAGATGCTCTACAGTTTACCACTTCATTCTGCTAAAGAAATGTAAAAAATTGCTACACATGAAATTCTTAAATATTTTCTAAAATGTCCTTTTTTTGGCCTGTATGGTTCTTCCTATTACATGATGCCTATTGGACAGATCTCCCCTCTTGGCGACTTACACTCCCATAATTTAAATTCCATAGTACAAAAATTGCTTCAATTCCCCACAAAATTATTACATGCTGTGGTGATTAGCTGGGACCCCCCCAATCCCTGTGCATGTGAGAAACACATGGACAGTCCAGTAACCTGCTGGAGGTGGCACAGAGCTGAAGCCAGGTCACTTGGGTCACAAGACATATGCTACTGCCTGTCCTGATTGGATTTTTGGGCCAGATCTAACCTAGCATACAGCCTACTGCCACTATGATTTTAGACTTCTTGTTACACTGGGCATAACTTTAAGTTTGGCAACAAACGAAAAAAAAAATCACCGGTGGGTTCTGAAAGTCTTGTTAAAAAAGTTGGCATGTTTGTGAAAGAAACCTCTGTGAGAGTGAGAGAGGAAGTGGGAGGGGGAAGGAGGAAGAGGGAATGGGAGAGGGAGAGGGAGAGAGGGGGGATTAGGAGAGGAAGAGATGGAGAGAACGAGAAAGAGAGAGAGAAAAAGCTTATCAGTGCTTTTAACTGGTGATCCACAAAACATGCCATTCCTGATATACAAAATAATAATTCATACTACAAACGAGCTAAATGCAAAGTTAACAGAAGTGATCATCTTAACAGGATGACCATCAGTCAATACTTGATGTCAAAGCTGTCCGCAAGACAACAGCTGAACAACAGAATTAAACAAGCAGCAAGAAACGAAACCAAGGGGTATTTACAAGATTCAATATGGCTCTCTTATCCTTGTGAACTGTTCAATATCAACCAAAGCACACAAGCCTATGATCTGTTTTGTTACCGCAGATGTGGTATTGCTTTGCTGTCCTGCTAACTCTTGTTTGTGGTCTGGTAAATGGAATCAACATCTTTAAAATCATAATACTGTAAATCAAGCAACTGGAAATAAAATGATATTGCCACAATGACAAACTCAGTTCCAACAACGACTAACATTCTCTGGATTGCCTTTTCATGACTAGTATGAACAATATTCCATACAACAGCAGAACCTAGAGAAATGTGATAATGATGATGATGAGGATAATGATGATGATGATAATAATAATAGTAATAATAATTATAAAAAAAAAAATAATAATGATAATAATATTACTACTACTACTACTAATGATAATTATAGTAGTAATAACAATACAAATAAAAATAACAATAATAATATTGATAATAATAATAATGAAAATAATGATAATCAAATAATAAGAATTAAAAAAAAAAAAAAAAAAAATAAAAATAAAAACAACAACAGTATTAATAATAATATTATAATAATAACATCAACAATAAAAGGATAAAAAAGAAGATTTGCAACTATTATGTACACTGAACGAAGCCATAGAGGAGTATTTCCTACAAGCATCAATGAACAGATGGACTTATAGAATGGTAACACACAAATATGACAATAATGATTCACACCAGTCCATGGTACTGAAGTTTATACACAGGCAAGTGCGTAACAAAACCTGCAATCTGAAGTGCAATAATTTTTTTTCCGAAACAGCATTTCCCTTCTGTGTGTAAAGTTACAATAATGATGGTGTTCACAGTCATTGCAAAAGTGGAATATACATGTATTTATATGTAGTTCAACCTATTTATTCACTTTTTTTTTTACTCACACTATTATTCCAGAGACAGCAAGAAAAATATATATTTGATAATAAAAAATTGTATATGATATACAATATACAATTTAATGAGTCTAATACCACCTGGGTATTATTCATAGTAAATACTACAAATACAGTTCAATCTTTGTGCAAATATGATGTCATAACACTGAAAATTCTTGTGCAAGTAATTAACCCTGACCATATTTTCTCACACTAGGAACATCTTAAAAACACTGCAAGCTGACTTAGGTCACTCCAACAAACTTGAGAAAGCAATGAGAAAATGGATTCAGATCACAGATAGCAAAGTGTTCAGTCCTTCTCGTTTATTTTCTGATCACTAAAATCATCAATAGTTAATTTCCAAATATCTAGCACATCACAAAAGGCTCTATTTCAATTCTCTGAAGTTTGGACAAAGTGGGAGCTCTCAGTCTCTACACTTCTTAGAACAAATTCACAAACTTCTCACAACATTTTGTATGACTTCTCACCATTGGATCATCTTTGGCTCTAATTTCCAGCACTTAAACTCACTAGCAGGTCCATTCTCACTTTTCTATACTTTTCTTTTCAAAATAAACTCAAGAGCTCACAAAGGCATTGCTTTCCCTTATTACCACATGCAATGAAGGACTAGACATTAATGAAACTGTCTCTTGACTTCCATTACACCTTATGAAACGGAGAATCACAGACTTCCAAAGAGCCATGTTTTGAGCATAAATCATATTTTATCTATCACATGGTAAACAATTCCTGACAATATTGAGCCTTTGCCTCTGGGAGATGGCAAGGGCTTGCCTAATGTTTACTATCCTGTTTTACATTTCGCTTTCCCGTCTAGTGTCCGTTTGTATATATCAAACTGTTCTTCATATTTAACCATATGGATTGATATTGTTTTCATTAGACTACATGTATCCGTTAATTTAATCTTCTCATTTCTAAAGCGCGAGTCTCCTACTCTCTTAATTCTTAAACTCTCTCCAACAATTCCAGTCACCAACACATCTTCTAACACGAAGAAAGTAGTGCCAAGGGCTTTCTGATAGATGTCATCCACCACATCGTTGGTGAAGAGGTAGGCAGGCCCAGTGAGGAAATCTGGATATCTAGTCTTACTGTAAGTACTAGTGTCAATGTAGTACTTACTCTTCTTATTCCGAACAGGCTTCCAGCCCTTGGCAAGCCGTCCGTACATGACACGCCGGTCATTAATCTTGGAGTCGATGAAAGTCAGGAGTAAAGGCATATTGATAAACATATCATCATCTGTTTTCAAAATGAAATGTGATTCTGAGCAGTAAGTCTTGGCCCACTCAAACATTGACACTGTCTTTAGAGTAAGGTTGCTGTAGTGATCTATAAAGTTCGCTTGCACAACATCGCCATACAGTTCGTTTTCTCTATCGATATTTGCTTGAATGGTAGGGTTGTTGGTTCTCCCGATCATAAATGCCATGACAACATCTTTTCTGATCGAAAAATGGCCCCAGGTCTGTCTAACGGCTGTACGATGCTTTTCATGATCTGGGGCTGTCGTGATGAGGACTAGAACTTTAAGTTCTCTTCCATTGTTGGGACACAATTCTTCATGGGGCACATTGAACCCTGATTCGTATTTCTCTCCAACCTGTTGAATAAATGGGAATGAGAAAAGGAATTTATAGGGCCATTTGGAAATAAACACTACTAAGATCTAATCTAGTCATATAATTTTTCTATCTGGTGTTATTTTCCTTTTTTTTAAGTATCTTTACTTATCATATATAGTGCTTACATATTTACATATATTTCAGTAATAAGACTTTGCAACTGATAACTTATCATCATGTATTTTGAAATGAAGGCCTCACCCTGTTTGGACTATATCATGTTCTATCTGTAGTGGCATGACAATCTAGCTGTATGGATTCTACTACTCAACATGAAAACCAAAGACACTGCATATATAAAAGTAATTCAGTATGCATAAAATGCTCAAAATAAATCTGATAACTGGAGTTTGAATAAAATAAGATATTTGCTAATACGAAATGCAGGATAAATCATGGCAATATTTTTGGGTATAAGGCACTACTCCATCAACTGAATCCACAGTAAT